ACTGCCAATCTAGGAAGTTTTCTTCATCGCCAGAAAAAGGCTGTCCTTTTGGGTCCCAGATCCCGCTCGCCACATGGAAGCTCTGAGAACATCATTTGCTCTAACTCGTTTCAAAGTGACTGCAAATTACTCGGAATTAGGCCGTCAAAAGGGGGACGATGCCGTGCAAAGCTAAGATTTCATATAGTTTTGCTGTAGAGAGAAAGAAACTGTGGGGCGATTTACGTTCTACGAATGCAACGATTTCAGGTGTACGTACTTTTATCACACTCGCTATGCAATACAACTGCCATTATTAAGATCAATCATCTTCTATTAAACCAGGAGCAACATGCATCTCTCGCTCAATGATCATTCGCCGCCTCATCTGATTCGAAATCATTGTCGAACTATTGCAGGGATGTCTACAATTCTGATCGAAATTTGGGAAATTGAGGATAACACCACGTTGAAATTTGTGTTGGCTGCTAACCCGCCTTTCCAGGTAAGTAAAAGATGCCAAGCTGACAGATAAATGGCGCGTTGTTGGGGGAAAAGAGGCGGTCATTGCCAAATTAATGAATCCGATCAAAACTTCCTGAATCACATGGACAACACTTCCCTCCACATGTGGTCGCGCACCCTGTGCCGTCACCAGCCTCAGAACGCGTCCATGACAACAAATGTTATTGTATTGATATGTGTATGTCTTCTAATTATTCCATGGCACTGTGGTGGATCAGATTGATATCGATTGATGCAACTCATTTGCTGCCCGAACTCGGAGTCCTTCAAATCTAGTCGACACTTGGCGACTGAGGACATACGTGTCAGACTTTCTTTCCTTATCGAGACCTAATGTATTTGCTTGGCCACTTCTCAGGTTCTATGCTACTTGTCTTGTACTTGTCAACCCGTCAATACATTCGACTGTTCTTGTTTCCTTACCCTTCATCCGGGCGGCCCAAATATCGGTCTGGCGAGTCCATCGAAGTGGTCCCGTGGATAAACGCAGCTGTTTTGATACCTCTAGCGTCTTCGGCCACACCAGTGTCCCTTTTTTCAATTGAAAGATGCAACCAGCTTCGGGAATCGGGATGTCGGCCATCCAAGAGCTACGAAGCAATGTTTCCCGCTTCATCGAAGATCATTTCTGTTCTTGCCTGAGCTTCTTAGCGTATAGTATATACCAATCTGGTATCGACTTCGCTTCATACTTGGGTGCGTGGGACTTCGTGCTCACTTTAACGTTCCAGAATCAGTCTTCGTGAATAATTGATCGGGCCTTCGTGAGTCATGGATTATTTTCTGGCACTTTATTCTCTCACATCCCCCTTCTTTTTCACCTACATCTCCCAAGTCCTTTATGAAAAGAGGCAGAGCGACGGCCAAGTTGTCCAAAGTACTGATCGAGAGCATAAGTTCATGATGTCTAGATTAAATTCTGTGCTCTCGGAAGGCGATGATATCGATGAAGTGAGTTTAATGATCACTTTGGTGTTCGTTTCACTCACTTTCATGCTCAGCTTCGCTTCAGCCCGAACGTCACTAAACTAAATGTGAAACTTGAAGAGCAAGGACTTTCGCTGCCTATTTCGCCGAGGAAGAAGGCAGAAGTATACCTGTACAAGGACGAATGCACTGTGAGTCTCTAATTCCGACTGCTTAGTCTCTCGCCTGACTCACTTCGTATGATCAAAGAGAATTTGGAATGCAAACAAGAAAAGACTTGGATATCGACCATGGGATGGCGAGGAAACCTGGGCCAACTACTCCGACGAAGTCTTGAGTCCTCTCAAAGAAGCGCTATTGAAGGAGAAGGATGAAGTCATCTATGCAGCACGGGCCATGAACTATAGCGAATTTCATCGACTGTTATATCTTCAATATCCATGGCTACGGTCCTTAGAAAAACGAGTGAAAACGGCGCGTCGGGATGGTCCTGTGAACATTAGCGATTGGTCTCTGAAAGCGCCCACATTTGATAAAGGAGTGAGCCACCCCCATTTACATTGATGTACTACTTTCAGCGCTAAGCATGCCTAGTGCTTCAAATGCCAGATAGCCGGACTGCGTTGTGAAGCGAAAGCGATTGGGGTGCCAGTCGGCTCTCCAGAAGGACGTAGGAAATATAAGGGACTTGGCTGCAAGTATTGCATTGCTTCTCGATCTGGTACAGATTGTGACGCGTGGATGGACTGTTGGGATTACTCCCCGTCCAAACGCGTGCCGCTGACGCCAGAAACGCCTCTCAGGAAGCCGAAACGTAGGAAGGAAGAAGAAGTTGAAGAAGAAGAGACACGCAGCGCCCAGAGAATGCGTGGCCCAGAGGTCTCCCGTGACGATGGTTCGAACGATCAACGAAGGCTATCAACACCATCTCCTCCTTCACAACAGAACAATATTCCACACCATAACCGAATTCCATCGTCTATCGCAACGCTCGACGAATCGCTCGATACAATCAGGGCGGGTTACCATTTACTTGCGGACGAGATGCAGGCAGAATGCACAAGACTCGCTACAGAAGTCGCATCGATGAAGAGAGAATACTCTGATTTGAAGGAAGAACACGAGAAGATCCAGCGAGAGCTTGAGAAATTCAGGAATCAGAAGCAGCTGCCAGGGACGACTGTCGAAGAATGGAGGAGAGCTTTTCGGTGATGAAAGGAATGGCTGGGAAAGCGGAAACGGCGCTTGCGAATCTTGAGGGACTCATGAAAGAGCTCTTTTCGAGGATGGTACGACCATAAATTGTACTTGCAACAAGGAAATACTGTAAAAATAGCTCTAGCTCACAATAAAGGGCCAAGCCTCCACGAGAGAATTGCTGACATCGCAATTTGAAGAGACGTGAAGAACGCTGATTTATTAATTTCCAGTCCTCTGCAGTTTCCGCAAGGACTTTATCGGTCCTGCTGAATATGCCTCATCCGTAGTCTCCTCTGCTCCCGAACGCGACATAACTACAGGTTCTAGATCATCCAAACAGCTCAGATCTAGGAACCGTTCGAGCGGATGGTTCCAAAAACTTTCCGTACACTCCCGGTCATGTATATCAGGGAAATTCTTAGCAGGTATAAATGCTGTCGGTGGAGGAGTGGGACGCGGTGGGAATGTGATGTCTGCCCGCCCGTGCTTCAGCATCATAACATCTGCCTCGAGTAGTGAAATCCGTTGTTCCTGTGCCTTGAAACGACTATGAAGAATTTCAAGGAACTCGGTGGATGTCGGATTATGTTTCTGGTCGGGAGAAGTAATGTGTGTATCGCATGATACTGGTTCGGTGGAGAAGGGTATTTCGTGCGACACTGGATCAACATCCATGGTATTCGAGCGCAGATCGGCGTGGTGGGAGGATAGACTCCCACCTGCGGGTGCCGGCGCTTCGAACTCTTGCCCCCAAGTTCCTGTTTTCTTCCAATGCGCGAGACATTGCAGGGCAGAGAGAGACGATGGAAATGCATTGACCGCATCCCACACCCAATCATCCTTATATTTCTTCAGACCATCTACCCAGTGGTCCAAAGAGATACCGCCCTCTATCTGTTCTTCGTCGAGTTTGAATCCTTTATATCCTTTCAAAACCCATCTCTTCCAGTCTAGATAGGAATAATCTGAGTGAGCGCAGTGTCAAATTGCATGTTTCAAGACATACCGAGCTTCACCGGATCCTTCTCATACTCCTCATTTCCATACATATCCCAAAACTCCTCCACCTTCCCCGGATCGGAAAGAAGCCACCCCATGCGATACCTCACGAGAGCCCGATCAAACGTCTTGCACCGCCACGTACGCTTCATTCCGACATTCATGGCTCTCCGAGCTGCGCACAGCAGCGTATCGCACAGCCTGGAGATATGAAGTATCCCCCCTTTATATTCGTTCCATTCTTTCTGCCGGATCTTTGTGTCAACGGAGAGAACGAGCTGGAGAGACGTCCACTGAAAGTTGGCAGCGAACATCAGAGGGATACGGTATGGAGTAGGAATGACTGTTGTTGAACCATCTCCAGATGTGATGGTGGTCCACCGTCCTCGGTGAGGCGGTCTACCGGGGACGGAGAAGGAATGCGTGATGAGGAATTTGATGACGTCGGCTTTTGACCAATCAACGGCTTCCAGGTATTCGAGTTCCGCAGGATGTCGCCAGCCATGTATATTGCCAATTTTCGGAGACGGTGAACGCAAAGAGGGGGGAATGTTATCATTGTCAGAAGGCTCTTCCTTTTTCACGGTAGTCTTAACAGCGGCGGCATGAGCAGATTTATAGCTTTGCGCCTTTTTCTGGCGCGTTCGATGGACGGGGCATGTAGTTAAGCTGGAAGAATCATCGGGGATTCGTAATCATATTGCTTGTATACGCTGATTGCAAACATAATGAGATAAGAATTGGGGGTGATTGTAATCATCACGGGATTCTCAAGCTCACCGTGTAAGATGCTGATAGCCTGTGCACTGGCAATATTTCAAGATTCGTTGCTTTCGACTGAGGCCACGGAACGGAATACACCACGGTCCGCAGTGACGGTGGATGACGGTAGAAGGGAAAGGCTAGCGAACTTCCCGAAATGGAAGTCATCGTCGTGATTTCGTAGCGGTCCTCGGGCTCCTATCATCTGCGCTCTGACTCAAATGAAGGAGAAATAATCTTGGCCTCCATCTGTCTGCAAAACACAAATAGGGTTGAATGCGATATAAAAAAGCTTGCTAACCTTGAGTAAATTCGGAGTAAGGATGGATGCGGGGGACAGGTAGATAAACTCCATGCAGGGAAAAGTCGATGATCAATTGTGCGACATGTGAGGAAGAGCGGGAAAGAATGTCCCTAGATTAGATTAAGAGGTGGAAGAATAGGTTATACGTGGACACCTAATAGAAAGGCGGCAAACCACCAATGACTCTCGTGGGGCACCGGCGGGCCGCTTGCGAGCAACATATTACACAGTACATACTTAGGACATTTCGGTTTTACAGATTGCGCTTAGCCCCAGGGGAAAAAAAGGTTTTCATTTCCAGTACCGACCATGCCGAGACTCGAACTCGGAATCTCTAGCTATCTGATCTACGCCGGAAATTAGCGCGTTAACCATTACGCTACACGGCCTACCAAATGTTAGGTGTTGCTGTTAAGATCAGTACACCATAACTAGTTGCCTAGCTCTCCCAACCACAAATATTCATGGGAATTAGCATCTCAAGACAGACATAAACAACCATAATTCCCAGTTTAAGAGGTTACTCCTACTTACTCCCTCAACGCCTTCAATATCTCGTTGCTGAGGTACCGAAAGGCCCCATCCTCGACTTCCGAGGGGAACATCTCGATAAACGGGCCCCTGCGAATCCCGTGCACAAAGTACTGCAGCTGCCCACTGGCATCCGTCATGATCCCCAAATCCATCCGGCAAAACTTCTCTATCGAGAGCGTTTGGCCCTCGAACCTCCGCTTCTCCACCCGAATCAGCTCGGCCAGGGTACCTTCGGCAAATTCCCTCATCTCAGCATCGGCCTGCTCTAGCGAAACCCGGGTCCCGCCTGACCTGTGTACGAGCTGGCGTTTGCCTCTATGCGCGAAAGTACTGCAGGTGGATTAGTGAGACACGAAACAGCAAAGTGATCTCACGTACTTCATCGTTGCCAAATCCCAGCCTTTCGTTCTCAGCCATACAGAGCGGTATGAGTATTCATCTCGAGAGACTCCGTGAACCTCCCTCAACCCGACCTTGTCCATCGGCATTACATAAAACACATACTTTACCTTCCTTTTGATCATAAAGACATGCCATTCGACGTGGCGATCCAGCGAGCGAACATACTGCTGCTTTAACCATCGATACTTGGGGTGCGCCTGCAGTTCGCTCGGCGCTACGCACGCTTGGACGTGAGCGAAATTATGGCTGCCTTCACGCTTGAAAATCCAAGACCGGATATCTATGTCGTCGTCATCACCATCGAGTGAGAGGATGTCGGTTTCTGGTCGTGGCGTTCCCATGCTGTACTCAGCGATGTTATCAAGGTCCCCGATGACGTCAAATTTCCGTCCGGCACGAAGCAACTCATCGACGGTACCAAAATTGGCTTTGAGTTTACCCAAAGAGTCGAGGAAGCGCTGGCGTATGCTGGGGTCTTTGATCCCAGGGACCGTATCACTAGGCATAGGTAAGTACGAGGAGAAAGAGAGAAATGATAGCCTACAGAGCAGTAGTTAGATCTACACCACCCCAGATTATGTCTGCTTTGATGTTCCCGGCGATGGCTCTGTCTATGAAATCACTCCACGACATGAATGTCACGTCTGTAAAGTTCCTGCGAGACCAGTAGTACCCTAAAAGGACCTGCAACAGAATACCGTGAGAACAAGGTCCGGAAATGGATCGAGATTACCCACCAACTGATGTATCCAAACGCCCGAATATCCTCTCCTGGGCTTAACACCATCTTTGAGGTCCCTTAACGGAATCTCATGAATGAAACCTTTGGTCGCTTTATGCGTAACTAGGAGCTGGACATCTGTACGCGGCAAATCGACTTTCACCCAGAGAGAGTTCGAATTGACGATAGTATGTGTGTTGCCCCACACCTTGGCAACTGGAGAGAACGAGTTGGGAGGGCCTGGTACGACGAGGATGTACTTAACAGTCCGATCCACTGGTATGTCCCGTACCACCGGTGGGGCGATTTCTCTCCCTGGGTAGTATGGAAATGAGGGATCCGCTAGAGAGGGATTGAGTCGTATCTTTCTGCTCTAAAAATGCAACAAGGAACATACAAGCTCCAGGTTTCTTCCTAAGTGCATCGACCAACTCGTCAGCGATGACACCAAGAGTATCAAAGCTGTCATCGATACCGTGGATTGGGACGTTAGCGCCCCTGGCGACACTTACAACCCAGTATTGCAATTGCCCGGACCTTGATTGTCGCATTACCGAAATGTCGAGACGACAGAGCATCGAAATCGATGGAACGTGTCCTAGAATCTCAGTCTCTCGCTGGACAAGAGCCGCCAAGGTACGCTCCGCAAACCCAATAAGCTCTTCATCAGAACGAATCCGGGACTCTTCATCGTGAGCAGTCAAGTCGGGGAACTCATCCTCATCCTCTGGCTGCGCTCTTAATCGTTCCCTTCAATACGGTCAGTAAAGAATAGATGAAACAAAGGAAGATAGAAACGAACTCAAGCTCAAAAAGCGGACACCGACTGTATTGCGTCTCAGCAACCCAGCTATTATCCAGCTCCTTCCTCTTCGACACTCTCACTTTCACTACCTCCCCACCAACAAGAAATACTCGCCACTCGATGTTGTAAGGAACGTAATCCTGCTGGAGCCAACGGTACGTTGGGTGTTGTCCTTCCCTCATCACCGAACGATAGTTTGACGACTGTATCTGCTTTGGCAGCAAAACGTGGCGTTCGCAATGCGAACCCTCACGTTTGTATATCTGTCCCGGGAATTTTCCGCCTGCTACGGAAGTCTTGGGACGTGGTGTTGAGGTCACGGATTGCGCGATGGAGTCGAGACACTCGATGACGCGCAATTTTTGGGCAGCATACTCCATCTCGTCAATATCTGGGAAGACGGCTGTCCTTTTGCAGAGCTCGCGCATTCCTGAGACGAATGTCGCAAGACGGGGAGGAGAGGCGAGAGGGGGGAGTGAGGCACTGCATTTATATATCAGTGAGAATATCAGGACAAGAACTCAATGCTTACAGGTCATCGCTTGAGGGATCAGTTAGACGAGCTATAATGCAGGTATACTGGTCCAGCTTCTCAAGCTCAGATGGGGAGCAGACCTTGTCGATGAAAGATTCAATACTACACCTCGTAACGGAGATGAAAGGCGTCTCCGGGAAGCGAGTAAGCAGTAGCGTCTGTTTAAATTAATTAATCGACAGGACGTGATTGCTACAACAATATCCACTGACCATATAATGCGCGTACCATTGTCCCCATTTCTGTCCGGTGGCCAGAACTGGTGCTTCTCCCGGGGCCAGTCTGAGAGGATAAATGAAACCGCGACAGTTCTCGTCATTCAGAAGGTCGGCAGAGAGTTGAGGAGAGCAGCGCATGTCCTCCCACTCAACTCCGAGACGATTTTCGTGGGTATGCCATGAGTTATGTGGTCCCTTTTCGGGTTTTGGCCCCATTACAAGCAAGATAGAAACCCTGCGTTCCCAGGGCATGTCAATACCCTCATTGTTAGAGGGGCTGGTAGAGGGGATAAAAGTAACGTTCAATGATGTCTACCGGAACAGAGGGACTACTGAATACTTACCTTGGATGGCCTGACGCGTCGCTTAAAGGTGAGGGTAGCGCAGAGTCTCTTTGAAGAGATTGCGCACGGCTACCAACATCGTTGTGCGACGGAGACTCGTTGTCAGAAGCGGCTATATCCCCCGTTGCAGAATCAATTTCCTGTGCACCCAACACTTGAAAAGATTTCAGGGAGGAATAAGAACGCAACTGTCAGAACACACCTATAGTTGACTTTGGAGAATTGTCTCCGATTTCGGGGGGAAATGTATCATCCAATATCATTTGTTCCCCCCCATTTATGTCAATGTCAGGAGGTGAGTCCATAGAATTCAAAGGCGAGGACATGCTTTCTCGTCTCTTCCCAGCTAAAGTCGAACGTAAAATGCCAAATTGATGGTAGCAGTTTAACCCCGCGTTGCACGTGGTTGTGTTGGAAAATATTCGGGCCGGGTATTCCGGTCTTTCCCTAGCCAAATTTAATCCCCTGACGTTCCGTTTTCGGACCTTGTCCGGTTATCTATCTAGCATCTGGCGGCGAAGAAGTATTTTATCACTGGTACAGATAAACCTGGATAAAATTAGGTCCTTGGGAAATGTCTTATCGCAGCACGCGTCAAGGACACAAAGCTCTCGATATATTTGTGCTCGGATTCTCAGCTTGCAATATTTGCATCAAAGGCAGCTGCCAACCCTGAAGAAAAAGATACCCGTTATCATAAGCCTTCTCTGCAATCCCTGTCATGCTGGTGTACCTCCTTTCCATCTTCTCGCTTTTCTGCTCTAGTTTTGCCACACAGACATTTCTCGCACCGAACAAATCGCCTACCAGGGATCCGAATTATGAACTCGGCGGCCTTTTCACGCATCCGAAATCACTCTCGCTTCTTTCTCTTGATCATTTCGAAATCCTCGACCATCCGCTGTACCCCAAGCACTCTGTGAGGATCAAGAAAACTGACTTTTGTGATGACACTGTAAGGTACGAGCCCTATCACAGTATCTAGTCGACCGATTCGAGGAATACTCTAGTGCATACACCGGGTACATTGATATCGAAGCGCGCCATTTGTTCTTCTACTTTTTCGAGAGTAGGAGCGACCCGGACAAAGATGATGTGATATTCTGGACTAATGGGGGTCCGGGTTGCTCGTCGTCGCTGGGTTTATTCATGGAACTAGGTGAGCGCAAGTATGCCCCGAAAATCAACGCGAACTCATCCCGCCAACTTGAACAGGCCCCTGTCGTGTCCTCGATTCTGACGGGGCCAAGTACCATCCAGAGTCTTGGAATACCAACGCGAATATATTCTTCATTGATCAGCCCATCGGGGTCGGATTCTCGTACGCTGAGTACGGCGAGACTGTTGTATGTATAATTTTGTTATACTGTCGATGGTCTAAAATATGTTTGTTTATAGAGCACGTCTGAAGAAGCTGCGCAAGATGTAGCTGCCTTTGTCGCCATTTTCTTCAGCAATTTCGACCAATTCAAGGGACGGTCGTTTCATATGTCGGGCGAATCATACGGGGTATGCTTCGTATTTCATGCCTTTTGGGGTCACCGCTCATTCGATGTCTAGGGAAGATACCTGCCTCTATTCGCCTCCGCTGTATATGACAACAACGCTAAACTACTAGCTGCTGGCCAGACACCTATCAACCTCACTTCCGTAATGATAGGTATGTGATTATTTTGAACCTTCACGACAGTATGGATATTTAGTCATTAAACCAAGGAAACGGGATAACGGACAGCATCACGACGCTTCTGTCCTATTTCGACGTGCAATGCACCGCAGCATCTGTCCCCCCGATTCTAGATATCAAAACCTGCGTGAACATGAAATCGA